TTTATCGACCAAATTGGCGATATTTTGAAAATGGGCCACGTTAGAAGTACCCTTAACCGACGAGCATGTATGCGTAGATATATGGATGCAAAGGAGGCGAAAGAGGTATGTCAGGATCGTGCCAAATGGAAGTCCGTAGTCTCTGCCTACCCCTCTGGGTGACAGGCGTGAGTGTTTTTTTATTTATTATGAGTTTGACTTTCACCCAGAGGTTATTGTCCGAATTATTAGAAATATTTTACAAACATAAATTGCACAAGAATAAATATCTAGACTCGGAACATTTGTTTGTACAAATACTTGTTCCGTGTAGGATTCGAACCTGCCGCCCTCAGCACCGTGACTCAATACTAAACCTAGAGCCAAGGAGTCACCAACATGTCCCCCGTCAGCCGTCCTTACTTACTGTCTTGTCATCATCGTATTTATTTAAAATATATTGCTCATTTTGACTGCATATTTTAAGTAAAAATATAATACTTATTTCCGCCCTAAAATCAAGTTCGGCCATTATATGGGAAATTTAACAGGGAACGAATATGAAATATCAAACTATTTTTCGATTTTTTTTTCATTTAAAAACAGTTATCGCGTAATTTGACTGAAACCCTGATAAAAACTAATGGGGGCGTGTGTCTATCCGAGCGCCGCCCGCCTGTCACGAAATCGTGCCTTCGCTAACGGCATTATCATTTCGATGATACTTCGTTGGTGCTAACTGTGAGGTTTTCAGATATAAGTGCCTTTTGGCGACCGGTATCCAATCTTGTCGCTGTCAACTTGCCTCCCTGGTATCGTATTTAGATTGGGTGCTTTACATAATGATTTGTTATATTTACGCAAACACTACACATTGATTAAAAGTACTTTTATGGATTTTATCACGTTTAATTTGCAATATTTTTAATTCCCGATGTTTCGGGTGCTTTCCAGCACCCATGGTCGCGAAGTACTGAGGTCACTGACGTCCCGATGTCAGTGTTAACCTGGAGTACCTTCAGCTTCTTAATTATTGTTTATGGTCCGATTTACGCAGAATGAACTTGTGTGTCTTGAAGTTTGCAGTGGTATGCTTGGATTTAGTTTTAATTTTATTAATTACAGGATCCGCCACCATACCATCTGCTTGGGATCCTAGATTCTACTAAGCTGTACTCCGTGTTAACACTAACATCGGGACGTCAGTCACCTCGATCCCCCGTGACCGTGGGTGCTGGAAAGCACCTGAAACGTCAGGAATTAAAAATCATGTAAATTGAACACGAAAAATCCGTAAAAGTAGTTTTAATCATTAGGTGCTTTTTTTTACTTTTATACCTATTTACTTGGGAGAACCGTGACGTCGTATTAGATATGCGCTCGCATTAAAACTTCTTTTAATTTTTTAAGAAACCTCACCCTTCCGCACTAGTATTTTCTCCTGTACCTTGATGGAGTCCATTTAGGCAAATATATAAAAAATAATGTTTGTTTGTTCTTATTTTATGCGCTGCCATACCGTTCATCAGATTGCGCTAAAACTTTGTCAACTTATTGCTTACACATGCGCAAAAGTTACAGGCATAACACAATTAGCTTACGTAGTTGAATTGTGTATCGTATCGATAAATTTATTTTAAACATTCATTCAGTTTCAATTAAGCTATAATCATTAATAAGCGATGAAATCCGTAGAAATTGATTTATTCAAGGTATTATCATTCCTAATTAAAAATATATCCCAAACTTGAAACGATATTTCTACAATGATTTCATGGCATCAACTCGCCGAGACCAGCTGGTTACATCCAGACCCGGAACAATTATTTGCAGATCTTTCAAATACTTGATACATGCGGAATTCGGATCAACGGTCCACAACGCCTCAGCTCAATGCTAGGCCAATAGACCACGGAGCTGTCATAATTTTATAGCACATTAGATAACTGAATTCCACCAACTCAGGTACCGACTTCTTAATTCCATTTTTGAGTGTTGATTTAACAAGTGAAGCACGCCAACATTTGGACAGTGCGGTGGAGTTCTAATATCCTTATAGAAAAAAGAGAAGACTTACCAGCAATGGAACGTATAAAAACTATAACTTGTCCATGTAATGGGAAAATAAATATAGTCTCGTAAATGTTAAATCCGCGAATCGGGAGAACAGTGATGTGGTACAAAACTTAAGGTACAATATGTTTGTACTACCAAATCACTCGCAAATGCCTCTCATTTTTGGATTATGGGGCAGTTGTCTGTCTCTACTATAGTGCGTGCTTGAGGATACACGTACGTTCGCTTGTCACAGTTTTATTTAAAAAAAAACTACTTAAAATTGTCCCTTTTTCTATCCCAGATCACAAAGTCTGATTTAGCATCGTGCTTCAATCGATTGTCATAAAGCGATCTCACGAAAAAATCCCAAGCTTTTGGAACGGAAAATTGAACGTTCATAACACAGCAACATCGTTACCGGACTCAGTCAAGCGCGACCTTCGATGCTCGTTTGTAGTACCGTAGATCGCTTTTATTTATTTTATTTTTGTAACGTTAAAGTATTTCTTACATTGTTAGAATTTTCAACTTTTTTCGGAACACGTGAATAATTTAGAAGTTCTAATATGTACGTGCCTCGACATTTATACGCGCAGATATTTCAAAAAAAAAAAATACAAATCGAAACTGTAATTCTAGATTGTGTATTTCTAGATCATTAGGGTCAAGAGATCGATTTACTAAATAGACATTCTGGTGATGGTGGGGCTTTTCGGTATATTATTCATTGAGCAGAGGAATAAAAAATCTATAACGTAATACAACTACTTTAACTTGTAACCTCTTTTTGGGGAAACATTTAACGGAAATTCAATGATAATTTCATATGTTTAGATAATACTATTTAAAAACTGACCGATATTTAACATAATAAGAAATTTTAACATTTTTAAATACAATAAAAATTGATATCAACAATCTATAACCTAAGCAAGCCATATGGGCTTGTTATTCAGTTATTAAACACGTTTGAATCGAGCACGCAACACTAAAACCTACTTACGAGCAGAAAGGTGAAAGTGGTTACAGGCTCGATGATACAACTGGCGTAATAGGTCGTCGAGATTAAACACTAGATATAAGATGAGAGCTGGATTTTCCCAGGTATTCATAATCGCGAGAATGGTTACTCCACTTACTGCCATAAGTGTCGTTAGCACTGTCGTCTACATTTATTTTAAAAATTGATAACGTAATTATTACGTTCCTCTCAGGAATAGTAATGTAAATTTAGAAAATAGAAAATAGTAGAAGTAGCCATTATGCAGTAAAACGATCTCTAAACCGACATATTATTTGTACATCTGTTCTATCGATTGATTCATTAAGATAATGTCATATATTAAAAATTAAATTTTGTAAAATATATACTAGATAAATAATAATATTTAATTACACAATAAGATATAAAAGAAAAAAATCAAATGAGTGGTCTGGTCTGGCCGCCAACAGCGATATGACTTTAATATTGTATTGCCTTAGTATGATTAAATTAATATGATTAGTATTACATTGTACCTTTTTTTTCTAGGCAAACTTTTAATGCATCTATCCATAGTTCCGAATCCGAAAAAAATCGAAAAAAAATATTTTTATAGTATATTATGCAGATAAATTTATCTATTTAATTGTGAAGCAAACCGGACTGCACAACTATTTTATACAGCAAGCATAACAGTTGCCTCCATAAGGAAACTCCTCACCTAAAGGTGGCAAATACATAAATCGCGGTTACACTATGAGATCGTATCGAGAACGATAAGACGAGTATGGTAATGACGAATTTACATAAGCCATTGTTAACAGAAAATGGCGGGCGAAAGTCGGGGCTGTTGCAGCGTTCTCTCACTTTATCTTACTCTCTTAATCCTATTGCTCCTATTAATAGGTGAGAGAGAACAAACGCAATATATTTAGGGTGTGCTTTCCTTATCAAATGCGGAAGCATAAGTGACGGAGTATACGAAAGGCCTCGTTTGCACTTTGTAAGAAAACCTAGTGCACTGTACGTGAGATATAAACCTAAATAGTAGCGACAAGTGCTGCATATTTATTTAACTATTTTAAGCCAATCTTTGACTAGTATACCACTTATGGTAAGTGGTGAAGTAGACAAAGTTCGTAGAGGGCACTGACAAAAGCGAGTTCACAGTGAAGACACCCACTTTGTAATCGGACTGAAAAACTGATGCTTGCAAATTATTCCTTCCTATATATTAAATTATTCCGTAAAAAAACGTTATATTATTTTTATAGAAGTAATAAAAAATAGTATTAGTAAAGGGTTACAAAGGCAATAAAAAAACAATAAAAAAGCACACACTTTACCTAATGGTAAGCGATACCGTGGCCCAGATAAACCTACGTCTGTGTTCGACTAAGGGCGGATTCGACCAAATTCAATGTTACTCCAGAGTAACTAATCCTCGAATAAATTTACTCCTTGTTTTTACTCTCGGATAATTTAGAGTGTGTTTTTCCAACACAAACGGAGAGTAGCCAATACTGGGTATTGTTACTCTAGAGTTGGGGAATGAAAAATGAATGAACTTGTAAGCCAACTAAAATCGAAATACATTTGTTTATATAGCAATGCAAGACTTTCTGTCTATTTAAAGTTTGCCGGATTATAATAGTGTCAATTGTCACTGTCACTGAACAAATTTAACACGCGACTTGTCAGTTGATTATTCTAACCTTACCCTTAATTCTTATATTTTCAAATAAAATGTCTGGAGAAAAAAGAAAACGTAGCCCAAATTGGTTACCTTCGGAAAAGAGTTTGTTGTTAGGACTCGTAGAAAAACATTTTCGTGTCATCGAAAATAAAAAAAACAGATGGTGTTACGATGAAGCAAAAATACAATAGCCAAACGACACACTGCTCGCGTACAGCAGAAAATTTAAAAAAATGAGTGGGAGTATATGAAAAAAAGGCCAAAAAGGAGGAGTCATACAGGAGGATGCATAGAATCCAAACAGGTTAGTTTTTATCCTGCCTTACCTTATCAATGTTTGTGTTGATCCAGTTATTTAGGCTAAAAACCTATAAATCTTTGGTATACATTAGAAATATGGACAGGAGTAACTATGAGCTTATAACTGGAGGAGCAGCGGACTGAGATATGCCTACATACATTTATATAGTGTTAGCCACTACTGGGAACATGCTTATCCCAGAGATCTTTAGGTGTTCAATGTACCATTATTATTAAGCACTTGATAGTACAATGCTGCGTTCTGATTAAGTGATTTATTTCCTTTGTCTCCTACATAATGGGATTATTATTTATATTAGAAATATTTTGAAAATGTGAGAAATGGCATACTTTAAATACTTTTACTTTAATAATTTTGTCTATTTTAGGTGGTGGACCAACAAATCCAAAGAAAGAAGATCCTCTAGATTCCAAAATCATATCATTAATTAGAACAAGTGCTGTTGGGCTTTTCAACCATTTTGACAGTGACAGTGTTGCCCCAGATAGCTTAGAGAGGCATAATTTTGCATGGTAATTTTGTATGGTTTGTCAAGGACCCTAGAGAAACCATACAAAATTGTTATACCTTTAAAATTTGGTTACAGATTTTGAGACTGAACTTAATGAAATTCAAAAGACTGGGATCGACTCGAACAAAGTATTAATGCAGGTAAATTAGTTTCTGTAGCTCTATACATTGTACTCCTGAAGCAACCCATAGTATATAGTAAATATATGCTATGTTTTGTTATAACTTGCTAAACATAAGTATCTTGACTCCATTACAATAAATAGTTCGGAGTAGGTAAAGCAAAGTCTGTCATTTTCAGACTCAAACATTTTATTGCGTTCATGTGGTTACATAAATAGTTCTTATGTTGGATATATTAGAGCCAAACATTAGCCCTGATAGGGCGTAACAATATTATATTATGTTATATATCAATTTAATCTAATTAATTTAAAAAGATGAATTTTATTTTATTTACTTAAACTAAACATTACTTTTAGGTTTAATAAACATTTGCAATATTTACAACAATATTAAAGAGGTATACATATTCAAATTAAACAATTATTATTTTTCACCAGAAAAACTCTGACAACGAATAGAAACTTTTTTTCAATTAAATATTTTTTAAGCACTCTTTGAAATTTATACAATGATTCTTCTTTTTGTAGACATTTGGGAATTTTATTATAAATTTTTACACACATACCATGGGGTTCTGATTTAACTGTTTGTAATTTTGTGATAGGTGGAGCTAATTTTTTAATAGGATGTAAAAAATGAGGCCGGGTTTATATTGAAAAAAGGTGCATATTCTTTTTAACAAATGTACATACTTCTATATATCTTCTATTCTTGCCATGCTGCAACTTGCGCTGTCAAATAAAGAAAGCCCGACTTGCCTATAATTTGTGTTCCAACATTGTAGTAGACTTGTTTTTAATTTTATCATTTAAATGTTTTTTGTGAGATGAAATATTATATGGGCATTATGTTGTTAACATTTTTAATATAAATCTTTGTTTTAGGATTGGAGTGATTATACTCCCGAAACGTTAAGAACTCCTGTTGCAAAACCTCTTCAGTATGACAACAATGAGCAAGAAGGAAAACTACAAAAATCTTGGGTTTCAAGAAGGCGACCTACATATGTAGCTCCTTCATCATCATTGCAGAAATTGCATGATAAGAAAATGGAAGCAATTGATTTTCAGAAGAGTGTTGCTGAGAAGGAGCTACTTCATTCAAATGATGTTCACAATCTGGATTTACAAATAAAAAGGGAACAATTAAAACAAGAAAAATTAAAGACTCATATTTTGTTATTAGATTTAAGATTAAAGAAAAAGCAATTCAACAATAAACAATAAAATATTAAATTTATTTATTTCAATGTTTTATTTTATATCTTTTTTCAAATTTGGATTAATAATATTAAGAATCACTGCAAATTTTCTAATGGAGTCATAGTATAACTCTTTGCAGCATATCCTCTGTCCACCAATAATAATGCATTACCATAGCGACCAGTCTCAAAATGTGCTTTTCGAACGCTATTATTAAATATAGTGCTGTCATGAGTTGAACCTGGCCATCTTGCGACTATGTCGGTTATTTCTAAATTGGCATTACATATTGTTTGCACATTAATGGAGTAGTATCCTTTTCTGTTTCTAAATGTCTTTGCTTGTTCTCCACCTACTTCCAGTCTTAAGGGTACAAATGTGAGGCGAACATGTGTACAGTCCATGGCTCCGACTACTCTTGGAAAACGAGCTATTTGGTAAAATTTATCTTGTTCATATCTTATTTCTTGAGGCGATTCAGGAAATTTTATGTATTCTGTATGTAATGCAGCTATTGCAGCACTAACTCTGTGTACAATTTTGTTTGCTGTCGGTGTACTTAGACCACAGTAGTCTCCAATACTTGTTTGTGTCCAGTTTGTTGCATAATATCTCAAAGTGGCCAACAACTGATTTACTGGAGATATTGAAAAATTTCTGAAAGAAAAAGGAAGGAAGCAGACCAAAAAAAACTAATTGCGCAAATAGAACTTGATATTAAAAAAAGAAATTTTAAAACAGGAAAAAAATTAAAACTGAGCTATTATTGTTGGAGTTAAGACAAAAACAGAGTGAATATCAAGAAGAGAACAAGGAAAATTCAGAGGAAATGTAATAATTAATTTCCTACCTTATATACTACTAATAATGTACCTAATTTCCTATTTGATAAATATCAATGACTGTTGGTGTGTGTATGCGTCGCTAAAACCAAATGATTCAAATAATTTAATAAAAATATAAAACATGCCATGATTAGTTTGTATTTATAGCTTTTAATAACATTTATTTTTTTGGTAACAATAAACTTACATACTATGTTAGTAGTGTCCGTTCCTTTGGCTTACCCACCTTCAAAACCCATAATTTTGCCGGTGTGATAAACTGTATAAAAACTGCCTATAACTGTCTCAAGATAGTCAGTCTTTCACACCACAAAGTTTGGTTTCAATGGTGGCCGGGCTAAAATAACGGACACATGTTAGTAACAAAAAACACCCATAATTCAAACTTGTAAAACCAATAGTAACAAAAAACTTTTCACAATAAATTTTGAAAGTAATCTGATATTAGTGCATCTCGTGCCCTATATTCTCGGGTAGATCCTGCATCCACAACAGAGGGTATCTGTCCATCATTTATAATTTCATTCCAGGGGGCAGGGGGGATAATTTCTGGATCATCTGGGGGTACTTGTTCTCCTCGACGTCTCAAAATGTTGTGCAAAACAGCTGTAGCGATGATAACATTCAGAATTCTTTCCAGTTTTATACGCATTCCAAATGCAAGCACAGGAAAGCGCCTCTTCCATAATCCATAGCTGCGTTCCACAGGATTTCGTGTCCTGATTTGTGATTCATTGTAGAGCTGTTCCACTGGTCCACTGGGATTCTCTAAAGGAGGCATCATGTATGAGGTTGATGCATATCCCCCATCTACTACCAATACTGCATTACCATATGTACCATATTCAAATTGTGCTTTCCTGTAACTATTGTTAAATATGTTGCTATCATGAGATGATCCAGGCCATCTAGCTACTATATCTATAATCTCAAGATTAGCATTGCAGATTGTCTGCACATTTATGGAGAAATATCCTTTTCTATTACGGAATAATTCGGCTTGTTCACCACCTACCTGTAACCGTAACGGAACAGAGGCAATTCGAATATGTGTGCAATCCATTGCACCGATTACTCTTGGAAAGCGGGCTATCTGATAAAAGTCTTCTTGTACTTTCCTTATTTCAGAATTTGTTTCAGGAAATTTTATAAAGTCTTTGTGTAGGGAGGCTATTGCAGCAGTTACTTGATGTACAATTTTGTTTGCAGTGGTGGTACTCATACCTCCATAGTCACCAATACTCATCTGCGTAGAATTAGTTGCATAGAACCTCAAAGTTGCTAACAACTGATTTATCGGTGATATGGAGAAATTTCTGTAAAATAAAATTGATTATGTTAGAATCAAGACCAATGCAGTCACAAACTGACTTAAGAATGGGTCGAACATTCTGGAGGTAGACCACCAGCCATTTTGAATATTGTTTTAATGATAAAGTTTATAAACAAGTAGGTGGACGGATACGATACTAAACAGATAGCTACATTATTTATAGGTAAGTACCAGACAATGTACCTACTCACCGGTTTGACGAATATTCCAACTTATGCTCAATTTTAGTTAGCAAACAAAGAGTGGCCTCCTTGGATAGACGAAATCTAACAGCGAAGTCTTTGTCATCATAATCTTCGAAGTGATTAGCTCTTTCCTTTATCCACCTTGGACGCCTTGGCACATAATCATCGTCGCTATCAGATTCTTCGATTATATTTCTCAACCTTTCCATTTTGGCGAGCTTTTGATTTAAAACCACATAAAAACAAGGAATATCAACACGGACTAATGATTTTTGACAAGATAAATGTACATAACCTAACATTTTGACATTTCATTATTCCTGGTTTAAGGTTTTACTCCACCAAAATCGGCCGTATAAAGTATACTCTCGTGTAGTGACTTTAGCCATGGGTTAATTATTGGTAGAATGCAAATTGAGCTTACTCTCGAGTAAATAGCAATTTATTCTAAGAATAAAATTTACTCTCGTTTGGTCGAATCCGCCCTAAGAATCAAAATGTATATGCGTTGTAACGAGTAACGAGGCATTTTTAGTCCCTTTAGGACTAAAAATGCCTCGTTACTCGTTAACAATAAAGATAGTCGCTGGTTATCGTCACTCACCATACGAAGCACAAACAACATTATGCTACCTTTTTGCGCTGCTATTCTGAGAGAGCTCTTTCTTTCACGGTCGGGCCCACCCATTCTTACTGCTACCACGGCCCGGCTCCATGTTTTATTTTTGGCCGATGCCACTATCCTTTTAAGTTCATATTGGGAACGCAATGTAAGTTTGTAGAAACTAGTTTTATTTAAGGGGGAAATATAACCTCAAATGGCTTAGCAAGATCCTCCGTTATGCCGAAAGTATTGCAGCATTAATTTTGAAATAAATATATGGTCAAGTTGAGGATTAATGTTAAGGTTTATATTAGACGAAAACACGATTCCGTAAAATTTTCTCGATAGAAAAAAAAATCCAAAGTTACCTCCAAACTGAACAATAAACCGCTGTTATTCATAAAATACTTTAAATAAGATCATGAAACTTTGCATACTAACTGAACTAACCATAAAGCAGTGCTTATGTTATTTACTTTTTTTAAAATATCATTATTTTCACTGTAAAAAAGAAATTACCTAAACTATCGGCGCGTAAGCTTGGTTCCTGTCGCTCCGTTAGTATTGCTCCGGCTTTTGAAGGAAGAAGTTGTGTCGCTTACGATCAGAAAACACATTACGCAACAGGAAGACGTAAAATTAAAATGGGAAATAACCGTTATAAAAATAAGAAGCGACTGGGTTGGCGTTAAGAAACAGGCATAAATATGATAAACCTAATGAAATAAGTGTCTAACGACCTATCTACTTAGAGTATTAGTGATTACAAACATGTCGGTACATAGCATACGACGCGCGGGGAAGTGGGGGCGAAATTAGAATTTGAGCTGTGTTACTCTCACCTCTTAAGGAGTTTGCGTTTATTACTTTGTTTATATATTATGATATTTATAAAAAAAATACCGCCAGCTAACATATAAGTAATTCTTATTGATATAGCAAAGATCATGTTAATAATCAAAACACAATTTCTGTAGTATAATTTCACCGTGCCAAGCTTTGCTTAGATAAAATTATCGTTAAGTCATGCAACATTGATAGATAAGAAAGCAGCAAACCGCTACATTACCGTGTCAATTCATCACCTTGCAAACCGATAACATATCTAGGGCTCACTGTAAAGCGGATAAACAATTAATTTGCGGGCGAGCCGCCAAAAGGAACCATATTTTAGAGTAATTGAAATTAATTTTCCGTGGTTTCGGTCAGTGTCGAATATTAATTTACTGCTGTGAATTTAGCACCTAATCTTTAAATGACGGCGATTTTAATGTGAAACCTTAAGAAACCTTAATTATGAGTGTAGTTTTAGTGTTTCTAGGATATATATTTCACAGAACATTTAAAATTGCACCCATGTTTATATTCGCAGCTACGTTCCTTATAATGTTTTTGTTGAAATGTTATTTTAAAATATAGAATATATTGTCAGACTTCTTACCAAAGATGGCGCTTTTGTTTTTCAATTTTTGGTATAAACTGCATATTAAGCAAAATTCACCTTTCATTCATTCTTTTAGCCGTTCATTATAGCCGGTCAAAGTTCACTGCCGAACATAGGCCTCCCCTGAGATTGCTTCATAGGAGTGATTTTACCACAGTCGCCACGCTTGGCTGGCGGGTCCGCAACCGCAGTTGTGATTATTTTCAATTTTTATCAGCAAGATGCTGTCGTCCATCTTTATTTCAGTTTTCCTCTGTCATCTCCTACGACACCACGGGATTATGTGAGGTAGTGGATCCTCTCACGCCACCACAAACACAGAGAAAACGAATTTTCTCTGAAGTGAGACTCAGCTATATCGATTTTTGCCCCCGTAAACCCCTCTATCGTAAATTTAATCGAAATAGTTCAAGCCGTTTTCGAGAACGTAATTACAATTAAATATACTTACAGGTATAGCGTGTTTATTAGTATAGGATTTATGGAAGCGGCGTTCTTCAAATTTAGCCAAGAGAGTCAAGAGTCGAGTTTATAATTTTTGTTAATTTTAATTGACTTATAAATTTTCATAATTTATTCAAAGTATCTGACTTGTCAGAGGACAGGAAATAGTTTTTCATTGGCTACCGAGTGTCACTCGGCCTTACAAAAATTCTCAGGCATGAGACACTAAGACAAAAAGATATATGTATAAAATTAGACTTAGGCATAGTCAAGTTTTACGTTTCGGCCTTTTTATAAAGTTTACAAATACGGATCGTATTATATAGGTATGTCATCGTAAAGATCCATCTTCGCCCGAATGTTATCAAATAATGGGCCTAGACAATCGCGTACCCCAGCGATCGGATGAGATCGCACGGGGCCGAATTCATCATCGCATCCTTCCGCTGGGGCGCGACGCCGCGGGATTCATTTGTCACGCGAACATTTGTCGCTGTTATAATACGGAACGTTTTGTGTTCTGTTTATTTTTTAAGATTGTTTCTACGTTGATTGATTTGAGATTCTTTGTATGCCTTTTCTGATAACTATACATGGCAGAGACATGCCGCGGTTATATTAGTAGCATATATGTTTGTGGCACGAATGGGTCGGCTCGACCGGGGAAGGACCACGCTCTCACAGAATACCAGCGTAAAGTAGTAGTATAATGCTGCTGTGTTTCGTATGGTGAGTGTAGAGAACCGGAGACCCTTTTTACTGGAAACGAGGCATTCCGTCTTAGTCCTCACGGGTGACAACGCATCTGCATTCTGATTTGTAATCGAGGATAGATGTAAGTGTCCATGGGCCACAGCAACCACTTACCATCAGGTGGATTTTGTGCTTGTTTGTCACCCTGTTCTATAAAAATAAAAACAAGCAAATAGTTTTATGAGGCACATATTACATTATACCCTAATGTATCTATTTGATAACTG